AACGGGAGCCTGTCTTTACCTCCTAATCGTAAGAGTGGAGAGTTCGTAAAAAGCACACGTAAGTTTGCCGCTGGGTTACTTTAAAAGGCCAATTTTGCTTAATACGCTGACTAAAGCGGTTTTTGTATGCGGCGGCCTTCCGAGGACCACTCCGCAGTTCAATGCCATCATTACATCCCTGCTGGATAGATGGATGGCGTGTAGAGAACTGGAAAATTATGGGTAACTCAACTTACTTAAAAAATTTAAGTAGGTGGCTATAATACATAAGGACCTTTCGAAGACCCCACTTGGAATTCCTACCCCTACAACATCTTTCATTTTTACGTTAGTTTTCGGACTTTTTACCTGAGACCTTTACCACTTCTCAAAATATCCACTAAGTTTTGCATCCTCGGATACAACCTACGTTTTTGCTGGCTAGCTTGTACGTCTTTGTACTGGCTGTCTGCTGGGCCGATTAAGATGCCATGGGATTTTTAGAAAATAATGGATTACGCTGCGCACTTTTATCAGTATACGAAATGGTCTGTCATAAAACCGTTTTATTCAACATTTTGCCATCTTAAAATTATATGAAGAAAGATATGTATTTTTAACTGAATGCAAAAAAAAGCAAAATTTACTCAGATTGCTTTGGTTTTTCGGTTAAATTCACACTATCTTCTCAACAGTCAGTCAGAGGCTATAACCCCACCCCACTTCCGATAATACTTTAAATGCAACCTTTTAAATTTTTCATTTCCACTTTAAGACAGGTCGATGTATGAAGTCCTTCTCTTAACTTTATGTCCAGAGCATCGACAAATTCCAAAATGAAAGCGAAATTAAAATATTTTCGTAGATAAGTACAGTGCTGCTCGCAAAAGTGTAAATCTAACTCACACAAGGTATCTTATTCAAAGGCGATTGCACTGGAATTTCCTCCACTGTCTGAGTTGAAGCCTCTTCTTTCGCCTGCCAGACACTTTTACACTCTTGCACAGTCGCAGCCTGTAGGAACAAGTTATAAAATAAATCTATATCAATTAGGAAGTCGAGAAAAACATGAACACGTTACACACTTGGGTTTATTATGTTTTTTCTAATGGAAGATGTCATTGTGTATGATTTGGTGTCTTTGACGTCTCTTATGAGTGAACCAACACTCCACTTTTTATTTAAAGAACTTGCGCGTTTTCATTTCTGATCGGAGGCAATCAAGGTGAGAGCTAGCACTAACTACGTGAAATTTTGTAGCCCCACTTCAAAAACAATATTGACGCTACGCCATATCCGATGATTTTATTCTAGTCGATGATACAACCTATATGACGTTATTATTCAGACACATCCTAATATTTTAATTTTTAATTGATTACCAGCTGAAAAACGCGAAATTTTAACAGATCCAGTAACGTCAGACGTTCCCAGGGAATTGTCTGTAGAAGTTCACAGTCTGATCTTCCAATTAAAAATATGTCGTCCATCGAATGTGATTGAACTTCATTTCTTTCGAATGTGATAGCCAGGCGATAGTCGGCAAGGATTCTGCGCAGCTGAACGGCCTCGGCCAGAAGGGTCCTCTGGCCCTCAGTCAGACTTTGCTCCTTCGCGAGTCTCAAGGAAGTAAATTGCATACTTGTTTGCAGGTGTTCCTGCAAAGGGAAAATTGGCTGCATAAATACCGTAAACGTGCACAGAAATGTTCCTCGCTATGGAATGATAACATGTGAGAAAATAAACTAAATTGCCAGGCACAACAGCCAACACATTTCGCTCTAAATAAGATCGTTATAATTTACTATGTGTGCACTAACCACCATCCTGAAGAACAACAGAAACTACTACTGCAGATTAAGTAAGTTTTAATTTGAGCGCATTCCGAATCCTATAAATTCTTTTCGAAGGTATCAGTAGCAGGACTTTTTACATGCAAATAAAATTCATCCCACTGCGAACGCAATAATATATAAAATACCGGCTTTAACTCTTAGCATGTTAGATCTAGGGTGGCCTAAATTCTAATTGTTTACTTCACATGATACAATCTCGAATAGACTACACGGATGGAAAATCAACATGGAAATTACTATTAATCTGACTGTTAAGTTTAGTGGGAGATTTCTGTGAATCAGCAGACCGACTTCTCTACCATCTGCTCAAGGTGCAGTGCGGTATACTAATCTGCTACAAAAATAACACATTCCTAGAATGGAGACTATTGTATGCATATTTACTGAATACACACTTCCATGGATGTTGTGTTTTTCCATTAGGTCGATTGAGTTATGTGGATTGCTTTCATTTTATCATTTCAGAACGTTTTAGTCACTTATACTGGTGGTTCGAAAAAATTGAATTGTCGCATAGGAAGCTAAACTGCTTCTGATAGCTAATTAGGGTGACTAGTAATAGGGAGTATAAGGATTTCCAGGTGTGGTTATAGTTGACAACATAACCAACTGGATTAAATGGGATCCATTCACCCTGGAAATTAGCTACTTTTGTATGTTTGACGTCTTAAGTATTAAATAAATATTTCTGTAAAGGATTTAAAAAGAACAGAATGATAAAGGACAATCACCACCTAGGAGTGTAAGCTAAACGCTGTCACAAACCTTTAATGCCAAAAGATTACAAAATACGAAATAACTTTAGAACTAACTTTAGTGAGAAAGCTTTACCAGCACTTTTTGAAACAGAAACGAAAATTTTGTTAATTTATTTTAAACGGTGATCTTTGTTCTGTAATGAAATTTAACATAATATTTACTCATAAAAAAAACTCGTTTTCACATTAAACTTGTAATACGTTCTGCCCTCGTCCCCGGACATGTGAATTGGGTGTCGATAAGTGTATAATTGTTTTTTTTCGACAGTCTTCGTTAAGTTTACTAATCACAGCAACTTCACTCTTGAGCATAGGCTTTATATATCAAGAAAATTCAAAACAGTTTACCGATTTCATTATGGTCTGATACCCTCCGAATAACAAACACTTATGAGCCCTTATAAACAGTAATCCGTTCCTCATGGCTTCTATATTATCTGCTCTACAATATTGATAATTCAAAACCCACAATATGCTTATTAGCAGACGCAGATTGCCTAGGGGAGCGAAAAACCATAGTGGTGGAAACAGCAATTAAGATACGTCGACTGGAAATGTGTTTTTATAAGGGTCTTTTGGCGTATTCAAGTTACCTTCGGTTGCCTTTTATTTGAGTATTTGATAAGATCAGCAACTCAACCAGAATTATGGCTCATACAGTAGCAAAACGGCCGGGGAAGATTAAATTATATTAGACTAGTACTCAATATATGACATTTTGTAATCATCATTTATGTTATCGCTAATAGCACCGTGAAAATTTTCATTCTGCCATATATGGCTGAGAAAATTAAAAACGATCGCGGCATCTCGTAACTCTGATTACGCAGGCATGTTCGATCAATGCCAGCACTAGCCCCGGATTGCCCCGTCTTAATTTATCATCTGTCATCTTTAATACTATGTATACCAAACAATATAAATTATTTTTTATAATATAAGACTTGGCCTATTATAACGTAGCGCTACGAACGCGGCGCGTACGCTAATATATTAGTTGGGATCAAATCCTATGGCTCTGCAAAGCAAGCATACCTTCAAATTTTTCTCTTTCGCCTTTGAAGAAGAAACTATATTTTGAATTTCCATCTCTTTTTCTAGAAGCCTGACGGTAAGCGCTCTTATTTCACGTTTCAGCTCTCCTTCGTTTTCCGGACCTCCCGCATCAAAAGAAGTTTCTGTCGCTTCGCTGTCGTAGTCTACAAAGGTTGCCGACTTTTTCATATCTAGTTGCTTCATGTCAGCGCTTTCTGGTGTGTTGACTGCTAAAACTTCATCGGTCGCACTCATGTTACGCGTTTTCAAGTTACCACAACAAAGTTATAATTCGCGCGTTGCGAGTGGTATATTTAAAAAGACCTTTCATATATAAAAATAAATTTCATATTTTAAGTGCTAAGAGAGCACCACCGAAGCAAACTTAATACTGCGCTAAATAAGGACAACGAGCGCATGGTACAGCAGAAATAAATAGTATGCTAGGCAGAGCACATCGCATCGGATGGCGATTCCTCCTGTTAAAACACTACTGAGCAATCGTTAGAAAATAGTAGGGAAAAAATAAAGAAGCAACTAAAAAAAGCTCGCAATAAAAGTGGGGACAGAAGTTAGTGAGCCCCTACTTCCAAAAGACTATAGGATGAAAAACATTTTCCTGCGAAAAGATATGTAGAATAATGGGCTAATGCTATAATGACAGTCCAGAAAATAAGTATGAGACGCCAATATTTTGCACTCAATAATGCTACTGTTTGTGACATTTCGTGGAAATCCGTCAATGGACACGAGGTTGCCACATCTCAGGACCCAGCTGGGAATCCTGTTGACGGTTAGCAGCAAACTAAATAGGAGGGACTTAACTGTGAGCTTCGGTATTATTATGATAACTTGACTGAAAGGGAGGCTTTTGAAACATCATGATTCTCAGCATGGGCGATGTATGAAAAGGTAATTTGGGGACGGTTTTCGTAATTCGCAACGGTTTTTTCGCAGAGTCGTGAAGAAAATTCCTAGGAAATCATGGGGAAATGTTCAGTTTTTGTTTGAAAGCAGATAGACTGGTTGACAACCCAATTTCCATTGACAGGTTATTCCGAAGAAGGATATTTATGGAAGCAAAAAATTGAGAGCATTTAGATGTGGAGGATGCAAGAGGGTATATAATCAGTTCGGAATTCCGTAGGTTGTAAGAACGGCTAGCAAGCGCGAAGGAAGAACGATCTGCGCTTCCAGTCTACTAACGCAGAGAATTTTTAGTTTCTTTAGCTGGCACCTACGTATGTAGAAAGCACTTGAATGTGTGGAATATAGGAGATTTCATGTAGAAAGTATTTGAACATTTACAGTTTTTGAAAGCCCAGACCCGTTCATTAAACCAAAGAATGAGCAGCATTATTCAGGAGAGGGAAGCACAAAAATACGATAAAGCCCTACTTTAATTTCAGGAAGGCATAAATTATCAGCAATGAAGCTGCCAATCTAGGCCGCATTAGTCGTAGTTCTATCGGCATGAGGCGAACGGTCTACTTTATTGGTGTACTTTAAGCCTAAGTCCTTGATGGTTGAAAATTAAGGTACAGTGGTCGCCGGTTATTAAGCCCACGGTTAATAGGCCCAGCCGCTTAT